GTTCATTGTTAAAAAAAAAAAATGCAACAAGGTTAACTGGAGCAGAAACATTCCAATCACTGCTCAGAAAATGTGACAAATAACCATGTATACAAAAACAGGCTACAATCTGTCTAACAAGCTCTGCTCACAATGTCAGTCTTCTATGTGAGACAGCCCAGAATGAAGACGAAGCAAGAGTTTCATGTTTGCTTTACTCAAGAATGAATGGGGTCAAAAATGAAGTAAGGTACCTCAATGGAGAGAAACTAAGAAAACCACAGGGTAGAGCTAGTTTCAGTGTGACACACCTGAAGGTGGCCTCTTACGAGAGCCAATAATAGCTCAGGTTCAAGGAGCAATAGGCGTGTTAAGTCTGAGTAACAACAATTTGCTGCTTTTAGCTGTTCCCGCTGGTGGGATTCAAACAGTGCACACTGAAAATATATCCTCCAAACAACAATAACTGTGGTTTATAGAAAAATAAAAAATAAAATAATGTATGAGATACATCAAATCCTATTATGTAAAAACAAAACCCTTTTTTATATTTGCATAATAAACATTATGACATAATTTAATATTTAGACTAAAACATTATATCAGAAAAGTATTTTAGTCACAGTAATACAGATGATTGCAATTCAAGCTTCTGACTGAGGTAAAAGGACCTTTAACAGAGCTCCACCAACCAAAAGGGCATATACCAATTAATACCAGTTGATAATAATAAAATAATAATACCTATTTTCCCTGTTTCACTGAGGAAGAAAATCATGTATAACAATCAACGTTATTTGAAGTATTTCAAGCTGCTGTTAAGTGAGAACATGAAACAATTTCATAACTCTGAATAACTTTCATGTAATTTTTGTTCTTTAAAAAGGTTCTAAAATCTCGTCAAACGTTTAAACCACCCATCTACATAAAATGCTGCACACCAAAAATATTACTTCAGCGGTAGGTAAATGTATGAATGAGTAGAAAAGAAAAATAAAAGATAACATACAGTATGTAAAATGAGAAAGATATAAATCACAGTAATAAATACTATGAATATTGTTTTTAAAAGACTCTACAACAAAATACAATCTTTTCCTCAAAGATTGTTTTCCCTCTTTGCATTGTTATAACCTCAAAATAATCACTCAACTTCTGCACTCATTCTACATCTGTACATCAAACTGTTCATTACTGTTTACTTTCAGAAAACACTATATTTTCTATCTTTTTTTCTATTACTGTTTGATTGATGTTTATATTCAACAAAAATACAGTCTGTGCTAAGGTGATCTAGAATTTTATGGCAAAATGACAGCAGCACAAAACAAAGCAGAAAGTACTTAAACACAAATAATCTCAAAGGCGTTCTGATAAATCGTGCGTGCGTATTTGTGTGTCTTACTAACACACCTCCTGCTCTCTGGCATAGTCCTCCTGGTCATATTCTTCCTCTTCATGCTGGGTTTGAAGAGCAGCGCTGTCAAAGTCAATAGACATGTTGCACAGACAGCTGGAGTGGACTGTTCCAAGAAAAAAAAACACACTTAATTTGAAGAAAACCACCCCAAAAATACATTGATATTTAATCTAGAATGATGTGTTTTGATGTAAAGCTTAAGCTACGGTCATCTCCAGTCCAACTTCGTACAAGCCAAAACATTTGCCAGTTATTAAAAGCCTTAATTCAATGGGATATTTATGTAAATTTCTAACACGTCATTAGTGTTTTATAGATGACAGTAAACTGTTTGATTGTCACAAACATGAGACAACACTCTCGACCCGATGGTTTAACGCTAACGCTAACCACCAAGCCACTTGAGAAATTAACGTAATTTAACGTTGTGTCGCTGCACTATTAATTAAAACGAACACATCGCTTACCTCTGGTTCAAGTGAAACAAAGGTTCCCTTTACTGCAGTAAAATGAGCGTATGTTGTCCAGCAGTTTCATCACTATGGTTTAAAACAATATTAACGCTAAGCTAACAGTCTTCGCCGGCATCGTTAGCTTTAAAAACTCTTTACAACTCGTGTAGCTGTCACAATTGCTGAGGACATGTTTTAAACAAATATCAAAAACGTTGCATTAAAACCATTTGTTCGATATCCTGAGTGCATGAACAACACAGCCCGTTAATGTTAATATTAAAATGTGTGGTAAAAACAAAAAACGGGCAGTTGTTACTAAAGCACAGCGTCCTCTTTAAGAACAGAAGCAGCGCCCACTTTGAAAAGACCCGCGCAATGGCAGCGCGAACCGACGACCATACACACCCTCTCTTTCTAGACACATTCTCGTAATGCTTGACTCGGAGGTGGATGTAATGAAAATATGGTAATAATCAATATGGACTAGTAGGGATTATGCACATGTTCGATTTCTGTAAGTGGAAGAGTAACTGATAACAAGAAAATTGCAGTAATTAACTAACGTCAGAAGAGGTCAGTGTTAGATTTACAAGCACTGGCTTCATTTAAAAAAATCAGAGCAGGTTTTTTTACTTTAATTTATATGTAATTTTAAGAAATGATGAAATGAAAATGATTTTCAAAATTTTATTTTTCCTTTAGGTAAGTTTTACAACAATCTTCCTTTACAGCACACGTTGTAGTCATACCGACTCGAAGACAAGAAACACAAAAACAAATGGTGGACCGCTATCACGTGAGCACGTTGACTCCGCCCTTTATATCTTTCACTTCCGTGTTTCTGCAGCCTGTGTTGTTTATCAGAGGGAAAACTGCTGCGTTGCAAATAAAATACTTACCATAAAGTGTGCCTCTCTGTACACACATGATTATAACAGCAGTCAGAAGGAGCTAACCCCGGCTCCTGACTTTTGTCCAACTTTGTTAAACATCCGGGCACCGCTTGTGACAGTCAGCTGATCAGAAGCAGGATATACTCATTTATCAGACTATCTCACAGCTGAACTGTGACTTATAAAAAGCCAGTATTAACGATAGTCTTGATTATAAAGTCCTAGAAATGGCAGAAAATCCCCCCAAGATAAAGACTGTGATCACTGCAGATGAAAGGTGAGTGATGGCGTAAATGAGCTGATGGTTTTGGAGGCAGAGAGAGAAGTGAGATTTTATACAGCAATTGTGTGAAACAGATCATTGTTTTTCTGTGCAGGCTGAGAAAGCTGAAGAGTGAATTTGAAGCAAAGTACGGAGAGTCACCTATGTTCTATGCATGTGCTCCAGGAAGAGTCAATCTGATAGGTATTTCATTAAACTGTTGAATGATGAGTTCAATCGATTACACCTAAGATCAATACTTTTTCAACTAACAAAAACCAGCTACAGACAGTTCATTCAAATAAAATGTGATGAAAAAGTGCTGTGTCATCAATTCTTATTTTTCGGGTGATTTAACAAATTCTGTGTGTGAATTTTGGGCATTACAATTTAGACAATCTGTCATTACCATGACATACTAATTATGTAATTGGTTTAATGTTTTTTTAACGTCTCATTATTTTATAATTTAAAAAGATATATTATGTTTCTGTGTCGCTAACCTTTAAATTTTTTTTTAATTCATTATGTTTTTTTCTACAACAGGAGAGCACATTGATTACTGTGGATATTCTGTGCTTCCAATGGCTATAGAGCAGAATATCTTGGCAGCTGTGTCAGTGAACAAAACAGGGACGATTCAGCTGGCCAACACGAATCCTCAGTACAAGTAACTTAGCTTCAACTTAGAATCTCATCAGGTTGAGCTTTTAGTCTGATGTCAATATTAAAGCGCTCCATCTTTTTCCTAGGGATTTCACTGTGTCATGTTCAGAAGAAATCACCATCGATCGAAACAATCCACTGTGGTATTATTACTTCCTCTGCGGAGTTAAAGGAATACAGGTAATTTATATATATATATTTTTATCAAATTACCAAAATGAGCCCTTTTAATTTTTTTGCTGGAATGTTGTTTTTAGGAAAAGTTTGGAATTGCATGTTTGTCTGGGATGTCGTGTGTTGTTGAGGGAACAATTCCTCCAAGTTCTGGTCTTTCCAGTTCTAGTGCCTTAGTGTGTTGTGCTGGCCTTGTAACAATGGAGGCAAATCAGAAATCCCTGTCTAAGGTAAAGTCTTTAATAATTTCACTAATACAATGTCAAATATAAACAAGCTATGTCATTTTGATTTGTTTCTTTTCATTGGATGTTTTAACTTTTTAGGTAGAGCTTGCTGAGATATGTGCTAAATGTGAGCGTTATATTGGTACTGAGGGTGGCGGCATGGATCAGTCCATCTCATTCCTGGCTGAAAAGGGAACTGTAAGTTACATTTTCAACAACATGATGTAAAATACTGTAGTATTAAAAATCTGGTCTCATCAATTCGTGTCTCCAACAGTCACAGTGTTCACTTTTATGACATCTGTTGGCCTTACTGCAAATAATTTTAAAACTATACACAGATCCTGCCTTGTTTGCAGATAAGAATTTGTAAACTCTAAATTAGACCTTGTCAATACTAAATTTGATACATTATAAGAATTTTTAATAAGGAAGCATTTGTGTCCACGTGTTATTGTTTTTTTTTTTTAACTTTTCAACTCGTATTACTTTTGTTGTTAGCAAAAGAAAATTCACTGACTGTTCTGCTAGGCAAAGCTGATAGACTTCCAGCCTCTGCGAGCAACTGATGTCCAGCTTCCTGACAAGGCTGTGTTTGTGATCTCCAACTGCTGCGTTGAGATGAACAAAGCTGCTTCTTCTCACTTCAATATCCGTGTGGTGGAGTGTCGAATTGCCACAAAGGTACAGTGAAGAAAATCAGTGATGCTCATGGTTGAACTGGAGATTTATATTAAGGATCATAAAAAGGTCGATTTTTGTTATTGTGAAACGCTCAAAATCAAAGATATACTAGATAAAAATCAGTCCAAATGTTTATTGTTTACATTGCATTCTGTTTAAGTGTGTTTCCGATACCAGCTTAGTTGTTGATTCTTATTTAGATGTTGGCCCAGGCCAGGGGTGTGGACCCCAGTGGGTTGTTGAAGTTGGTCCAGGTTCAGACGTCACTAAATGCCTCCTTGGAGGAGATGTTGGCTCTGGTGGATGAAGCCTTGCACCCTGAACCATACAGTCGAGAGGAACTCTGCACAGTGCTGAAAATCACCCCAGAACAGTTCTCCACAGAGCTGCTGAGCTCCAACACTCAGCATGGTGAGAATATTTTTGTAGTTATTAGAATACAATGGTTTCAGTCTGTGTGAGACAATATTGATTGTTTGAGGTCAAATAATTCTGATGACATTTCAGTAGATGTGTTTATCTACTGTTCTAACCCTGGTGTCAATTTTGGATTAGGTTGAAGTAGTACAATCTAATCCAAATAATATAAAAATATAATGTTATGTTAATGTTTTAATAATGTACATGATCAGATTTAATATTTCTTCCTAGCATATTGTGAACACTAATATATTTTTCTTTTTTTGCTCTCTTTCAGTGACACACTTTAAGCTGCACCAGCGTGCCAAGCATGTGTACGGTGAAGCGGCACGTGTGCAGCAGTTTAAAAAGGTCTGTGACTCCAAACCTGCTGGGTGCATACATCAACTGGGAGAGCTGATGAACCAGAGCCATGCAAGCTGTAGGGACCTGTACGAGTGCAGCTGTCCTGAGCTGGACCAGTTGGTGGACATCTGTCTGTGAGTACTGTGAGACGCTTGGACATAAATCCTGAGCTTCAACCATTGACGTGAGAAGAACAGAAGAATGTTATTACCATTGCATATTTGTTTAACTGTTAATGGGTAAACCAACTGGTGTGTCTGGAAATGTTCACCTGACTGTTGGCATAAGGTGTTCACAGTTTGATAGGTTTGATATGAGTATTAGATTAACACTTCCCTTAGCCTTAAGTTTAGAAAAGTACAGTCAAACGGCTTGCATCACTTATGGTTAATACAGATGTTTTTCCAGGATGATGTAAAAAAAAAAAAAAAAAAAAAAAAAAAAAAAAAAACAAAACACAACATCAACCCAGGCAGTAGCTGTCTGAAATATTGCACATATTATAATGAAGTATTTTAAACATTGCACATGTTGAAAGAGATTGAGAATCACCAAGAAAGATTCTCCATAACCTCTACTCCATGGGTTCAATGGCCTGACCATAGAAGTTTTTCCTCTTGGCCTTGAACGCTCCTTGACTTCCTTCCAGATGTTCTGGAGGCTGAAACATTTGCGTTCACAATCTTCTAAAGTTTAGGATTTTATGAACTGAAAGATTACTTATTGGACATGTTCGTATATATCGATTGTTTTCCCTTTTTTTGTTTTTCCTTCAGGAAGTCTGGAGCAGCAGGGTCCCGACTGACAGGAGCTGGTTGGGGTGGCTGTGCCGTCTCCATGGTTCCTAGTGAGAAGGTGGAGGCTTTCCTACGAGCAGTTAGAGAAGCGTACTATCTCCCTGATGCACGCAGAGCAGCCATGGAAAAACAAAGCCTGTTTGTATCAAAGCCTGGTGGAGGAGCTGCAGTGTTTCTAGAAGGATAAAATGCATCAGAATTATAACATTACTGAAACAAGATGACGACCACTGGGGAAATCAAAGCTGTTGAGTTTACTAACAGATGATCAGAGAAAAAAGGTCCAAATGTACTGTACTAATTTATCAAGTCTCACATAGGAATCATTGGGGGGAGGGGTGTTGTACGATTTTTGTATGGCTGTCTGACTCTGACTTTTTCATAAATATATACACTAAAGAATCAGCATAAATAATCGCAATCATAAGGCATTAAAATATGAAAGGAAATAATAAACTCTGGTTGTGTATTATTTGACAGTATGGCCTTTTTACTGTGTCAATATTAATTATCTTAGGTACACAGTGAAGTGGGTAGTGCATCTGCCCTACATTATTAAATTGCCCTGGGATAAGGTGATAGTCTTTCTGTTTGACTGTTGTAAAAGGTAAAAAGGGTAAATCAGAGTCTTCAATTAATTCAGGAAAGAGCAAAATTATCCATGCCGAACTGCACCATATCCCTAACCCATATCCCAAACCTTAACCCTTATTGTAAGTTTTTAAATAATAAAAGAGTAATCAAAACAGCAAGGCTTTCTGATTACCAAAGACAATTAAGTTTTACAGCAAAACAATTTGAAGTATTTTCTTGTGGTCGAGTTTAATTAAGTATTGAATGTTTTAGTTTCGGCCGTGGTGACGTTTGTTATTAGATTGAGAAGTCCATGTTTCGCTATAACAAAAACGTATTACGGTACATTGACCTGGTTATTACGACAGCACAGTGTCGTAACAGCAGCCCCTCCAGGTTATACAGAGAAGGGTTAGTGTAAAAAAAAACACGGTTTTTGATTGGTGTACAAATGACTGGGGTGGGACCAGAGCAGTAGGAACTTAAGTCATTCCTACGCGGCAGCTAACTGTGACGCACTATCGGTTTGTGGCAGTGGCGAGGTGGCGTTGACTGAAGTTGGCCACTGTTAACAGGAAGTAAATAGAACGACGACCAGGGAAGATAGCGGGGGTTTGGTGTGAGCCTGCCATCGAACAGAGTCAGGTATTGAATATCCTTGTTTTTATTTGTGTCATTACTCATTAATTGCATGTAATTTGATCAACGATCAGGTTACAGATATGAATCTACACAAGTAGGACTGGAATATTCCAGTAACAACTATTGATACAGTCACTGAGTTTAAAGGTGTACAAGGTATACGTATGTAGTTTTTTTGTTTGTTTAATTGTTGCTGCTTCATTGTTCCTGCAACAGTGACAGTAAAGAACTATTATATCAGATTTTGCAGATCATGTACAGGAATTGGACCAGGGTTTCACAATTACAGAGCGTAGTTGAATGAAGCTGTAAAAAGAAATAGTGCTTGGCTTGTTTTTAAGCAGTCTAGTTCATTTGGGTTTTAAATAAAATAAACCTTTTACCCCTTTCCTTTCTTTACCACACTGCTCTACAACTGCAATTTCTTAGGTCTTTTCTATAGCACCCAATGTCCATTTTGCAAATGAAATATCTATATATACTGTATATATGTGGCGCTTTGGCCCAGAGGCTATGTCTCTGTCATTGGTGTGGAACCCCAGGGTTCACCTCCTGGGCAAGTTCAAATCCCAGTTAGGGTGGTTGGTACCTTCCAGTGGACTCACCACCCACAGGAAGTTTCGGGGGGTGGTTGGTACGGTGCAGTGTGATTTGGGTGGTGGTCATGGAGACTGCTGCCCCGTGACCCGGTAACGGATAAGTGGATGAAAATGGATGGATGGATGGATATATATAGATATATATTTTTTCTAGAAGAATACTTAACAAAAATGTTTTTTTCACTGATTTGTTCATACCTGTCTTGTGAACCCAGTTCACACAGGATGGCTGCTCTACAAACCATGAGGAAGTGTAGGCCTGTGGGCACTACCATACGTAAAATACACACGAGCAGCTTTGCTGCCTCCAAACAGCATTATAAGATGTTGGTGCTAGGAGGAGGAACTGGAGGCATTGCCATGAGTGCTCGAATGAAGAGGATCATGGGAGCTGAGAATGTTGTTGTTGTGGAGCCCAGTGACGTAAGGACACGTTTGTTTACTATACACAAAAAAAGGGCCCAGGTCTGCAGGTTTTTCTTCCAACCGATCCAGAACACACTGACTGACCAATCAACTGTCTGAAGACGCAGTTGATTAATTAAGCCAAGTCAGGTGTGCTGCTGCTTGGTTGGCCCAAAAACCTGCAGCCACAGTGGCCCTCTGTGGACCTAATTGCCCACCCCTGATCTAGAGCATAGTTCTTGGTTATCTACCTTGGGGGTTTTACCCATATCCCCTGTAGACAGCAGCATTGACAACAGTTTCAGTGATTGCACAACTTCTATAATATTGTAGTATGTTTGTGTAATAATCTGGTCTAAAACCATTTTACAGACTCATTATTACCAGCCAATATGGACACTAGTGGGTGCTGGTGCAAAGAGTTTATCGACATCTGGACGCTCTACTGCCAGTGTCATGCCCTCAGGAGTAAAGTGGGTGAAGTCTAAAGTCCGGGAAATAAATCCAGATTCAAATACGGTTTACGTTGATGATGGAAGTAAAGTATGTTTGCACAATTTATTATATATCATTACCATTATCCAGTGAATTTGTGCTAATAGTTCGTCATCTACAGTAAGTAAGGAACTGGAGCTAACCATCTTTCACTTACAGATCACATATGACTACTTGATAGTGGCTCTTGGATTACAACTTCACTTTGAAAAGGTAAGTCCATATGTCTCCTCTGATGAAATGTATACCTTATGTCCCTGCAAATCTTCATCTTCCTAAATTACAGATCAAAGGACTACCAGAAGGGTTTGAGTATCCAAGGATAGGGTCAAACTACTCAGTCCAGACAGTGGAAAAAACATGGAAAGCCCTACAGAACTTTAAAGAAGGCAACGCTGTCTTCTCTTACCCAAATACGCCAATCAAATGTGGTGGAGCTCCACAGAAGATCATGTACCTCTCGGATGCCTATCTTAGAAAGGTATTACATATGAGATGCATTAATTATTTAATATTAAGAAACTGATTTGTGTTTATTTGTATATAATGTGTGCCTTTTTATACTGCAAGACAGGGAAAAGGGAAAAGGCCAACATAATATACAACACATCACTCCCAGTGATTTTCGCAGTAAAGAAATATGCTGACTCACTGTGGGAAGTGGTGAAAAAACGTGACATACAAGTGAACTTGAGGCAGAACCTGATTGAAGTGAGGCCAGACAAGCAGGAAGCAGTGTTTGAAAACCTTGACAAACCAGGAGAAACTAAAGTGTTTGAGGTACTTATGTTATGGTTTCTTGTGCGTACTCTAGTGTAATATAGTACTGACTACCATAACAATACACACATTATGTTTCACTTACTCCCTAAATGTGATGATGGCAAATTTAACTTTTTTGTTAGTATGAAATGCTCCATGTAACACCACCAATGGGACCCAATGCAGTGATCAAAGGCAGTCCACTGGCAGATGAGGCTGGCTGGTTGGACGTGGATAAGGAAAACCTCCAACACAAGAGGTATCCAAATGTGTTTGGCATTGGAGACTGTACCAGCCTGCCTACATCCAAAACCGGAGCTGCTGTTGGTAAGTGATTATTACACCATAAAAGGTGGTTTGGAACATTGCATCAATGAATTACTGGAAACAGCAGTTGCCAAATCACAGGTCATCCAGATTTATGAAATACCTGATTGTAACTCTAACACTGGACACTGTTGTGCAAGGTACACTGCAAACCACACCCAGTAAAATAGAGACAATTACAGCAAACTTCTGTACTGCTGTAATTGTGTGCTATAGAAGCCTTCATATAAATGGTATTTTACAGGCTTTTCAAAGATTAAAGGTACATTTCAGACAGCTTTATATTTCTCCATTGTAATAACATGGGCAAAGTCAGATATTTTGAAGGCATTTTGCTCTGAATCCTGTTACAAAGTAATTTAATGTCTGTTTAATGCTGCTCACATGTCATGAGGAAATTAAAACTAACTACAAACCTTTTTTGTAATTTAGCTGCACAGTCCGGTGTTCTGCATAGAACCATCAGCAGGGTACTAAAAAAACAGAAACCAGATAAAAAGGTAAATTAAAACTTGTGGGACTGTTGATTGAGTACTGTTTCATTCTTTTGCTGTTTGTAATAATACGCTGTTTTTTCATCATGACTCACTGTTTTCACAGTACGATGGATACACCTCATGTCCATTGGTCACAAGTTACAACACAGTGATTTTGGCTGAGTTTGACTATGACGGAAACCCTCTGGAAACCTTCCCAATCAACCAGGCCAAAGAAAGAAGATCAATGTACCATATGAAAGCTGATGTGATGCCTCATCTTTATTGGCATGGACTGCTAAGGTAATTATTCTTTGTTCTTTGTTGAAGTTGCACTATTTGATTCTGTTTGATTTGTCATCACAGGTTACTTCAAAGTGTTCTTCAAATTTTTATTTTTCCTCTCGTAAGGGGCCTGTGGGGCGGACCGGAACCATACAGGAAACTTCTTCATCTGGGAATGAAATAGAGGATCATTTTGTGTTTCTTTCAAATCTGTGCAGTGTTGAAGTATTTGTTGCAGCAGATAGCTCCCCACTGATTTTAAATAGATAAAGCTGTATGTGGCTTTTAAGCTTTTATAGAGCATAAAATTCAAGTTGTATTTTAGTTAAACATTAAGTGTGGAGATATAAAGGCCTGAACAAATACTATTTGGAAAATTGCTAATACAGTGGTATTGAAGCCAAATCAAAATTCTAAAAGGTTTCAGAAATATGCCCTGAAGTGGAAAGTCATTTATTTAATTTACAAAAATCTCATAAGCCGTCAGCATAATATCTGTGAATATTGATTAGTATTAAAGTGACAAAAAAACAACTGCACCAAGTGATACTTTACCTTTATCATTGCATATTTGAGGCTTGTTTTAATTTGTTTAGTGCATTTATTTTTTTCTTTCATCTGAACTAAAAATTAAGATCATTAATTGACTATGATCAATTTTAACTTTGTCTTAAATGTTAGGAACCACAGTGCACTTTGGCTCCACGTGTAGATTGGTTTGGGCGCTAATTGTGACTGTCGTAGTTTTGGAATTTTGAAAGGATTTCTGTGTAAAGTAAATATATCCTGACATTGTATATTAAACCAGTATGATCTTAAAGGTTATGAATAAATGCACAAAAAATGTTAAAAATTATTAGAAATGCCAAAACGTTTGTGCCCAACTGTAACAGCCCTTCAACAGCATTACAATCACACAAGTGCTTCTCTGAGATCATTGTAAAACAAAAATAGCATAAAATAAATAAATATATAGTTAACTGTTGACTGAGTTTTTTTTTACATTAACTAAAAATAAACTAATACAATAGCTTTTATAATATCCGTACGGTAAAAAGCATTTTGTGTGTTTTTATTTATTTATATTTACGAATATAATTATTGGCACATTATTAGTAAGAGTGCAGTTTGTGTGAAAATAATCTCACTGATGCATTTCTTTTTTTAGTATTCATGCCTGTTGCCATCAGTTAATGTCCAAACTATTACCTATGATAACAAAGTGACTATAAGTAGTTTTAACCGCCAAATTATTAATTTTTTAATTTTTTTAATTAAGTGATGAAGCCAAATACGTACATATTTATTTATATACAAATTATTACCATTATCTAATAATATGCCTTAGTTGTGATTTTAAGTCTCAAAAGGTTGACATAATTGACTTTAAATATGACATAGAACATAATAATGACTTTATCATTTAATGTTTAAATTTTTTCAACCATTTGACAATGAAATATAATTTTGAATAACGTATTTCAGTAATTACAATTTAACTACAAAATAGACATAATTGTCATAATTTTCCCCTTAACGTTGTCTCTCCTAATATTGAACATTTTTAAAGTTACATTTTCAGAAAATTACATTCTTTTATCTTTCAGGCATCTATTATGTCTAGTCACGTTGACACTACCTCGAAACGTCGACTTATAACAAAGCTTTTACTTCAAGATTCTTTTTCTTATAAATTACTTTGCATATCGACCCACCACCACCACACGTCGTATTCAGAATTTTACATTTTTAATTCGCAATTTTATTTATTTTTTATATATGTCTCGTAATTTCAACCTTTGTAACTGTTTTGTTTTTGCAGAGATCCGCTCTATCTTTGCGAATTAATAAATGTTTCAAATTAAACGGCTGAAATTCACGTAAAGGATATATGTAATATATGCACAACTAATGCGTTAATATTTGAAAGCGATCGTCCTTTCCCTTAAATGCTCCCGTGTAGTCCCACAACAACACCAGTAGGGATAGAGAGCTGTAGTGAGCCGGTGTTACTCATCATAGCCATTTTCCTGTCTGCTCCGCTCTCCGCCACGTTGGTTTGCCTGCGTGAGTCCTGCGCACCACCAACGTTACTTTTGTGAAAAGGCGGGAAATGGCGTCCGCGGACATGGTTGATCTGTGATTGCCGACCGAGCGATACAAACCGCTGGCAACAGCGGCCCGACCTCTACCGGTGGGTTGCAACGATCGCGGCTGGGAGCCGACAGTGGTGCAGCCCGGGTTCCACAGCTTTCCGGATCGTCGGTAAGTAACGAACAACGTCAACATGTAAACAAAAAAGATTTGTTCCAGAGCTGCCTGGTAGCAGCTAACGTTAGCAATGAAGGGGGCGTAGTCTAATGGCTGGAATAGTTATGGAAGCAAACAAAACAACCGCATCGCAGATAGCTGTCATTTAGCGACGTCCAAACACGGGTTTTGAAAGATAGTCCAAAGATTCAACACTGACATTTTAACAGTGTCTGTCACTAAAAAGCTTAGGACATAAGCAAAAATCCCCACCGCTTCGCTTTGACTAAAACTGACGGTCTCTTAGCTCTACTGTTATTCCTAACGACTGGTGCTAACGTTAGCCGCACAGTCTCCTGACACCGGCGGTTTAATGACACGCGTTGTCAAGTTGACAGCAAGACACAAACGTGGATTGTTAGTACACACGTGTAAGACAGTACCTTCACACCAGTGCTGGCTTTGTTCTTTTATTGCAATTTACAGTGTAGTTAGAGCCTAATGCTAGCGCTAGCTTCTGCTGTGTGTGCGGCGAATCTGGCGTTACATAACGTCAGAGAGCTGCGCTGTGAGGCTGTCACATCTCAGTTACGAACAGGATCTATTATCAACGAACGGAAACACCAATACTAAACTATGCATGATCGGCATCACTGACCCAACAGAAGCGCTTCGACCGTAAACTCATTAGAAGCTGAATGTTACATTTTCATTCATGTTAAAGCCGAACACCACCCACTCTCAGCTGCCATTCATGGTGTAGCTCCGCAAATAGTGTAGTTGTATCGAAGTCAGTCAGTGTTTGTGGGATCGATTCAGACATCGTACTTAATCCGCTCCCCCGGTGTGCTTGGATCAGTGGGTAGATAACAGAACATGTAGTGTAACGTGCTTTAAAAGTAAAAACCCACAAATACACACCATTCATTTGTTGCATCAATAAAACCCATATAAATAACCAAGGCCACCAAATAAAAGCAGACTCTTTGTAAATCCTCCAGGTTGCACACAAGGAGTCGTTAAAGTTGTCAGTTCAATTACTGGTATGGTAGCTTTGTCAGATTCTTTTGTACTTGTGACATCACTCAAATTTCAGATTATGGTTGACACCTATTAAAGAGATGGATACTTCTAATATAATGTTTTCCTTGTTTGTTAGATTTTTTTATGTGACGGTGAAGCATAATGAAGCTGAGACCGCGTAAAGCTTCTCAGCAGCCAAATATCAGGCAACATGGTCTCTCGGTAAAGGGCAAGCGGAAGCACTGCCAAGTGAAGCCATCTCTGGGCAGAGGTCGAAGGAACATGCAGAAGAACCAGACAGGCCTGATATCCACCATTAGGAAGTTCATTCATGGAAGCCCAGTCAAGGTGGGTAGTTTAAAGAGTTAAGTATTGAGTTGTTATAGCATAGATAAAGACACATTTTTACTTTGATGCACATCCCGATAAAATGATTTGAATCTTTACGTTTGCTACTGCTTCTAAGACTGCAAGTAATTTGATTAAAGGAGCACTTGATGCAACTGTGTCTTCTGTGAAAATACATTGTGCGTCAAAAGTATAACTCCACTTTCTTTCACAGCAGGTGGAGCAGGACATCCCTGCTAAAAGGAGTCGAATCGATTGCAATTCCGCCAGTAATCTGATTGCTTCATCCACACAGACCAGAGGCCTTTCCAACAAATCAGTCTCCAGAGTACGCCGAGAAAGACCAAACAAAGGTATGCCATTCAATAGGGGAAAATGATTCATTTCAAATGTTATGAAGTGACAAAAATACAACACTATACTGGGGTATGTACCCTTTCCATGTTTGTTTTATAAAAAGATGCAATTTATTTTTAGACACAACAATGTGCAACAATAAACCCATAAAACCAAATGGTAAACTAGATGACCCCCTTGAAGCAGCTGGCAGTCCACCACGCACCGCCCTGCTCGGAACAATCTTTTCTCCAGTCTTCAACTTTTTCTCACCAGCCACTAAAACTGGTAACAAAGTGTTGTTGGAAAAAAAAAATCTAAATTCAACTTCCTGAGCTCATACTGTTGCCATCACCGTTTTATTTTCTAAAAATGTGTTTTTCTTCTGTAGCCACTCCTGGCTCAGACTCTCCGGGACAGGCTATAAGGGCAGAGGAAATCGTGAAGCAGCTGGACTTGAACCAGGCAGAAGAAATGCCCAGCAGCACTCTCACATCCATAGAGGACATCACCACGTGTCACACTGACCCTAACTTGCCAGCCAGGGTTCAAATTCCCTCCAACACGATCTACGAAGAAGGAGCGATTGTCACTGACACAGACATACCTCCATTAACAGGTGAAGATGCTGTGTATTATTCAACCAGTCACAAATATATTACAGACAGATACACACATAAGGAAGAGTCTACTACAGAGAGTATTTGTGTGTTTTATGGGTATGGATGAAAGAAACAATTGTGAAAAATACCTACAAAGTGGCAGCGACAGAAACACTCTGACTAGTTTCTCATTTTTCTCTTTTCTTTAGCTCCTGTTTACATACCTGAGGG